CTTTATTTTATATGTTTGACTTAAATATAACTAGAAAACGCTAGAATTTTCATTCACGTGATTTTGAAATTAGGTAAGCCAGGAGAGTATCTTGGAGGAGGTGGAATATGTATAAATTGACCATGATGATTACCACCATGAACAACACCATGACGTGGAGAAGCGGATATTGGAATTAAAATTTGTTGAACCTTTTGATTAACATCGTTTCCGTTGGGAGGGGTACAAACTTGTACAGGAATAAACATCTGATTAAATTCATTACCACGTTTCTGATGGTATTGTTGTCTTTGACGATGATGATTTTGTTGTCTTCTTTTATGTGAATATTGTTGATTTTGTTGATTTTGAGGATATTTATGATATTTCTTATTGTTACCATTGTAATTATTATTATTATTATTATTATTATTATTATTATTATTGTTATTATTATTACTATTATTATTACTATTGTTATTATTATTATAATGTTCATTTACAAAGTCGTTTTTGATACCGTTATTATAATCATTTACAAAATTGTTTTTTGAAGAAATGCGTCTACGTGGTGGTTGCTGAGGCTGAGGCATTCTAACCACAACTTTAGATAAATTTTGAAGCGGATGAATTGGAATAAAAGTTGGTGGCATCGGAGTATAAGGTGGAGGCGGTGTCATCGGAGGAGAAATCGGAGGAGAGATCGGAGAGATCGGTCGATGAACACTATCACCATCAGAAGTAACAGAGAATCGTTGTTTTGATAATAAAATCTTTTCATAAAAAGCCATTTTACGTTCGATAAAAGTATTAATTAAGACTAATTTACGTAAATGATTGTTAGTGTCCTTGCGAATGTTTGAGTTATTGGTTGATTGATTGCTACCTATGGATTTTATTTTAATGATTGAAAGTTTATAAATGTAGGTAAGATCGATTGCAGAAGCTGAAATAGCCATCTCTCTTTTGTTTTTGTTTTTTTTTTTGATACAAAGAATGAGTATTAAACAAATATTGGAATAAAAAAAAAAAAAAAAAAAGAAAAAACAAAGATGCGAAAAATATGCCGAAAAAACAAGAATGGAATATATTAAAACAAAGCCGGCTTTGTTACGTTCCGTTATGAAAATATATGAAGCAATATTAATATTGAAAATTGTATAAAATGGTTATTTTTTGCTATATATCTAACAAGAACCAGTGAAAATTTTATATATATATATATATACTATAATTTTTTTTTCGTGAAAATGGAATTTTTACAGAGGTCGTGAAAGAAGAAAGATGGAAGAAAAAAAATATATTAAACGATTAAATCCAAATAATCAATATAATGTCCTTTTAAAAAACAAAAAAAAAAAGAAAAAAAGAAAATAAAAGATGAGAATTCCTTCAAAGGGAAAAGAATAAAAATGACGATATTTATACGGGGAACAAGAACCCAAACAAAGGTCACAAAGTACTCCTGTGTGGTATGTACTATGTAATGCGAGTGAATAAGCCACAACGACCACAATATCACAAAACTCTTTGTGATCGCCCAATTTGATAATTATTCAAGGTTATGCGTATGGCATCATTGTTCGTTTGTTTATCGTGTGTTTATTAATAATATATTAATTGCTCATGAAAGATATGATTTCTCGAATATTTATAGTGCATAGTAAATGATGAGATCACAAAGGATGTAACGTGATGCTAATTTTTAAGTAGATATATATCATATATTAATCCTAACTATCCTAACGAACATAAATGTGACCGAAATTTACCTTGTGCAAAGGAGTCCGTATAAACAAAATGTAGGTCTGGGAAACACTAATTCTTCTTTGCATTTTTTTATTTTATTTTCCTATTTAGATAAATCAATTTAATAAGTTATTCAAGAGAATTTAGGAGATTAAAAAAACTTTGTGATAAGTTTTGGTGATCTGGCTGAGTCTGATTCCCACCGATCATCGCTTTATCACCTTAACATGAAATTAACCGTTAGAAAAAGCTAAAGATAATCCACATAATTTAAGCCCGACCATACAGTATAAACAAACAGATCTTTTTTAAACACGTAGAAAGAAATCGGAATTTTAGATGTAACAGGGACTTTACGAAACAAAGGAGAACCAAACATATAAATTTTAAAAGCTTAAAAAGTATAAAAATTGGTTATACTTTTTAACCTTGACATCATATAATAGTAAATACGAATTTGAAGATCTATGAAACAACAGGGTAAGTTTTCATTTGATCATCGAATGCAATTCAACATTGGTTATCCTTTTCGGGTTTAAAAAGTCCGATTTTGGAGGTTTCAGTTGCAATTCTTACGGAAACAATAAATCCTACATTGATACAGCAAATGAACTCTGTAAAACCGGTTAGCATTCATATCTTGAAATTCTAACCTTTTTAGATATTGATATCAAAATATTCTAAATATGTATGTACATACGTAAACTCACCCCTTTTTTTTTTTTACTCTTCAAATGTAATTCGAATTCTTTATTGATTATTAAATTATTGACTATGGTGCAGGTTCTATGTAATGTATTATCATTCCGTTATTAATTATTTCTGTTACTGTTTCTTTTATTAATATTATTATTAATATTAACGATCATATTTCTAAATCTACTAGAGGGCTTAGTTCAAAGCCAAAATTCTACTCTTTCTTCAATGTCGATCTGTAGCTTAGCTTTCGAAATTTCTATATTCTAAAGCACTAAGTTCTTAAATAAATCAAGCTACGTGACACGTAAGATAATCAATCAAAAAAAAAAAAAGGTTTTCATACAATGGTCTGAAAAAGAAATGACAAACCTAATCATTGTTTATAATTTTATTTTAATATTGTTAATATGGGCTAATTGATTTTTTTAGGGAATTTGTATTGAATGACAACGATCTTCTAAAAAATCTCACATAATCCGTAATCCGCTATTCTCGTTAGCTTAAGCATGCAATTATAAAAATTTAATTTTAATAAGTACTTATGTACATACGTACGTACGTAGACCCTACCTAAAAATTTTTAGCGAGATATCGATATCGATACGTATTCAAGATATGACGAAATATATACAGTATATCTGATATATTGCAGTATTGTTAATATATTGTACGATAATACTAATTTAGACTTCATTTCTAAATTAGTACTTTTCAAAAATCATATGGAAGATATGTCCACGTGATATGTTTATTACATGCATGAACTATATCAACCTTTTGATCACTCTATTACAGTATTACAGTATTACAGTATTATGTACATTATAAATCCGTTGCATGCTTTTTGTCGTAATTGTTAACGGCTGCTGGTGTGTGATTGTGATCTGAAATAGAATAGTCATATGTCTTTTTGTTCAGTAATTGTTAATTATATATATATATGTGTGTGTGTTCACAAACGCGAGTTGGTTTTTCTCACGCAGGTATTACCTTTGGTTTCTTACTCAATTCTTTGATTCTTAAAAAAATTCCTGCCGTGTCCTTGATTTAATGCGTATTTAAAGAATCTTTCCGAAGTTTTTTCCAAATTTTATGTAATACGTTATCGATTTGTGTGCTGCCATATGCAAATCATAAAGTACAGACTTTTTCTTTTTATCGTTATTTCCTTTTCTGGTGAGAAAAACTCTGTGACACGACACATAAAATACCAATATCAAGATAATACCAGTTTCGGGATCAGCGTAAACAAATGTGTGATTCGGACAAACAACTCCTCTCTTCTGATCCAAGAATAATCTTAAATGTTGGCGGTATCAGAGTAATATATTAATTAAATCACGTGCTTCTCCTTAATTTTCTATCTCTCCAAAATTTCTAAAATTTTTAATGAATTTATTAGTACGAAACCTATAGATCAACTCTACTAGTATATCCTCAAACCCTTCTTGGCACAATGTTTCAACCACGTAATGACTCTTTACTTCAACCATCCAACACTGGCCTCTATAACGAATATTTTTTCGATAGAAATGGATACGCGTTTCGTTATATTCTAGAATTTTATCGTACTGGTAAAATTCTTTGGCCAAAATCTAATCCTTTACGTGCTCCCATTTCTCAAAATTCCTTAAAATCTTCCTCCACGTCTTCTGTGACTGTAGATAGTGATAAAATAGATTGTTCGATTCATCAATGTACAATTCCAACTGCTACAGACTCTCTGGCAAAAATAATGCCCGTATCATTACACGAACTTCAACGTGAACTCGAATTCTTTCAAATTCCTTCTTCCCTATCTCATTCCTCTCCTGCTTCACATTCTTCAATCTCATATAACATAGCTGCTCAAATTCTTGATGATTTCATTTATATTATAGAATCTTTAATTTGTGAATCCATTGAATCTTTTTCCCAAAAAATTACTATCAAATTTTATGATGATTCCCGACCTGTTGAGGTCTTTATGGCAAGAAGTCGAAGAGACGAAGCGTTAAAAGGATTTGAAAGTTGCGGTTGGGAAATTTTGGATTTATTTGAACAAAAAATATCTAAAAGATTGAAAATTATGTTTCCAGGTTTAAATACTTACGTTGGCTACGTAAATTCAAATGGAAGCGTGAGTAGTGGGTATATAGCGGGAAATGCTTTTTTACAAACCGATAATGGAAAAAGAGATGTTAAAGCTAAAGTTTATAGATTATGTTCATTTTTTGATCCAAGAGAAGTATTGTCTAATACTTTGAGTTTTGAAGATATTTCTGTCTCTGGAGGTTCATGTGGTAACGATAATATTAAAGTATCTCCTAAAAAATTATAACATTCATATAATATTATTATATATGACAGTGTCCTCTGTTTCTAAGTGACGCGTCATATCATAATATATTTTGCATAAAATAAAATAAAGTTTTATACGTAGATACGGATACGTAATACGTAACATCAAATGTATACGTAAAAATACTTTGATAAATACGTACAATTAATTTTTTAATAAATTATTAATATTTCTTTTTTGGTTATTAATAAATCGGGTGATTCATATAAATACACTAGATCTCTATTCAAGGTCGAGACTTCCATGTGTATCCATCCATAGCTTTATCTCAGTTCATTGATACCACCATATGACGCTAGGAATTTCCTTTTTAAAAATATATTTGGTGCACCGTGAATAATTTGGCGCGATATATATATGCTTGTGCTAAACATATTAAAATTTTATATTAACGTTAATAATATAAATTAAATTTTTAATTGTTTTTAAATCTGGAAAAATTAAAGTTAATCTGTCAATGGTTGAGCTTGATCAGGTGTGGCTCAGATGCTCAGAGTGTCTTATGTGGCGACTTGCAGAGATTTGAAACTCGGAGTAATTGAACTTGGAATAGAATTACGTATCAAAAGAATTTATTAGGCGCATACATTTATTATATAAAATTATGAAGAAAAATCGCATTAGGTAGTATAATAAACCCTTGTTGCCAACATCCAACTTTCTGGGCATTCATATCAAGAGTAGGAGAAAAAAAACAGGTCATCAAAGGAAAGAAAGCGATTAAAAAATGTGAAATGTCGATTGAGAAATCAGCAGATTTCCGCATTAAAACTTAAACGGTGCATATTTTAGGTTTAAAAATCGTTATCCCACGTCCCAATATGATCACATGATGGGATTTACGTGTTATTTTTTCACACTTTTATCACTAAAATTGCATTGGATTTTTTGTATACAGTTATTCCCCCGTATAAGCTATTATTACATATTATTATTCCACGTTTCTATATGATCGCATGACGGGGGTTTACATACCGAGGAAATAACAAACATTGCTAGAAACTCGATTTTTTTTATTGATCAAAGTAGTGATTATGAGTCGTAAAGCCCGTCATGACATCATATAAAAACGAAGAATAATATCCTTATTTCGCCGCTACGGGGAAATAACCCGGTAGATCTCCACCCGCTGTGGGCCCTTCGGGCCCCCAGATGACCGGGGATGTACCTCTTATTCCCGCCGTTGCGGGAAATAAATAGTACTTATTTCCCCAGAAATTTCAAATTTTTACTTTTTTTAATCGGATATTTAGGAATTATCATAATATGAGCCGAAAGTACTTTAAAATTCTAATTCACATTAATTCGTAATAAAAGAAATTACATAAAATTCAAATACATTATTTCATAGTAATTTTTACTTCAATATTGCAACTTGAACAATTTTCAACAATATTTCTTGAGCAGAATTTGAAGTGACAGCCGGAAGAATCTTTTGCGTATCTTCAATAATATTTGCAGAAGATTTTTTGAGTGGACTGACAAATGGTTTTGATGCATCGAATGGTTTAAAAGGTCTTGGTTTTACAATTCTAGGACGAATTCGATGAACTACTTGATTGTCTGAATTAGAAATAGGTGCAAGTGGCAGTCGTGCAGAATTTGATGATGATTCTGAGGATTTTACAATATTTTTTATCAATTAATATCATTCTAAAAATGAATTATTAAAATAAATAAATTAATTACTTGGAATAATCATAGCAACGGTATTATTCATTATTTTTTTTGTGAAGGTTTGATATGAAGCAACGCCACCAAGTGAATGATGTCCACTAAATACCATAATTCAATCAGTATTCACATTAAGCTGTGTAAGTATTTGAATTGCGGACCTTCTTAGTGAATAATTGGTTATTTTTTTTAGATTCATATTAATAACATCTGTCATTTCACATATCATAAAACCAAACATCTCAAAATCTAAAAAACAAAAATGTATATTAATAATTGTATAATAATAACAAAAAAAAAATAAATACCTTTTTTATAAGCAATTTTTAAGAAAAATTCTTTTGATGTAAAATATTTTTTACACCGAAGCATATAGTATAAAAATATTACGAACTAGAGTAAATTTATCTTGTGTATTAGGTAGTATTTAACATACTCAATCTGAATTATTTAAATTTTTCAAACCACCCACGTGATTCTTTTTGCAAGATATAATAACAGTAAGTCAATTAGAATCACTTTTTTCACATGATCATATTGAAGTTGTTTGACATCTTCACCATATAATTCACACAAAAGATATAGCCAAAAGTAAACTTTATATGTAATAGTAGTAGATGTATTTTGTAAAAGTTCTTTGTAATTCAATATTTAAGCTATTTTATTATTTGTAAATAAATCACTTTTATTGACTTATTGCGGATTTATATCTTGAACTAATTTAATTTTCACATTGATTGTTGAGTATAAATAGAAATTTTGATTTTTATCAAATATATTTGGCCTGAGATTTTGACAGGATTTATTTATTTATTTATTTTTTTTTTTTTCGGTATTAAGGTGACCTCCTTGGCCTGGGGACTTTTTATTAGTAATTATTAGTTATTACAGTT